AAAGATAAATTATGCTTATATTAAACTGCTCTACCATTATCTGGTGAACCCCTGTGACAAGTTTAAGGGCCAAACTTTGACACTCAATAAGTTAATATGTCCTTCTCTGTGGACCTACACGTATACAGCAGCTCTATGGATAAAATATATCTACCTGGCAACAGCAAAGCAAGTGTATGCGTTGGTGTTCATGTCTGCAGTACAAGAGGCACATATAATCAGCGGTTAATAACAACACAGTGGGAGTCGCTGCCCCACCGTAAATCAATGGGCAAAATAATTGCTAATACACTGGCTATCGATTAGCGTGCCCGCCATGCACTCATTTTCTGGGGCGACCGCAGCTAAGCGCTAAAGCAGTGACAAGGGTAAAGTGTTATTTCTCAAAAAGGCACACAGACAGACAGCTGGGCAGGAAAAAATGACTACAGGGCCTCGGCAGTAATTCTTAATTGACACCTGTCAGGGCAATGGCAGCAGTCACAGCTGCTGCAGGAGAACGTCTACCCAAGTCCTGTTCATCTGTCACTTTTAATACCTTTTCTTCACAGCCTCTCTTTCTCTCCCTCTGTTATCTTCTTCCCCTCACCCACACCTTTTCTTTACCCACCATGCTTCAACCCAGATGTTCAAGGCCGGTTAACAGAAGCAACACAACTTCAGGGCTTGGGTCGTACAGGACCTCCACTGGCAACTCACTCACCTCAATACTGTTTTTTTTTTAGTGTTTGCTTTGTGGATCAAAGGCGTTTTTCAGCTTCACCTTAACTGACTGAGCTCTTGACTCAAGTATCAGTGATATGACAGAGTCAGAGATTCAATAAAAAGGGGGAACTGGGAGTGATTTAAACTTCACTCTGCCTGCTATGGTGGCCATGTATCTCCAAAGCCTTATCTCTAGCATGATCACCATGATTACTGCAACAAGCGCCGCCTCACTGGTAATTTCTAATACATCAAGTGGAGCACTAAAAAAAAAAGAAATAAAAGGATGCAGAGTAATTTCTGAGATCATTGGAGCAAAAATGCAGAAACAAAATATCTGAATCTTTCTGGCTTTGGACAAATTTGATCAAAACAGCCAACACTGACTAAGTCTGGCGTCTGTCTGGCGTACGGTGCATCAATCACACAAGGACACACACACGGACACACACAC